GTCTTGCAGAGATGGGGTGCAAAAGTAAAAAGCAGATTTGAAGCTCAGTTTGCTGCTTTTCTGGTTTTCCACTTCTGATATTTTTAGCTTGGAACTGAAATTTGGATTGAAAAAACAAGTGAATGGGAGCAAGGGGTGCTTAGAGCACCATGTGTTCAGGAGCCTGAATTGGAGCCGGGACGCTGCTCGGGGCTGACGTGGACAGTTGGCCACCCAGATGGAGCGCTCCGAATACCCACACGCTGCGCTCCCCGCGCCCAGCCCAGCTGGCCGAGGCCTCGTGGGGTTTGAGAGACAAACAGAAGGTGGAAACTGGGATAGAAGGAGATGGGAAGTCTGGGAACAGGGCAGGAAGGGCAGATCTCGCCTCGGAGAGCAGCGGTGTTGAGTGCTGCTTCAGGGTTATTTTGTAAGATACCTTTGAGTCCAAGGGTGCTGTCAGTTCAGAAACACAGCTCAGCCCCACGGCTGGGCACTGGTACCCATCCCTGCATCTCCAGAACCTCCTTAGTCTGTATAATGGGCCTTGAGGGAAAAACTGTACTTCCCTCTTTATGGGTTTGGGGCCACACTGCTTGAAGTGGGGATTTGGGATTGTGTTTTTGCTACCTCCCAAATTCATAGGGAGGTACAGCAGGACATGGCTGTGCACATGGTCAGGAGTCCCTTGTCCTCTGAAGGTCTGTACTGCTGCCACACATGGTCCTTTCCCTAAGGCAAAGCAGAGATTACTTCTCTGCTGGCGGATGGTTGACATCTGCATGGCACAGCAGAGCAGAGGGCTTGGCACTGCCCTTGGCCAGCTCGGCTGGGGCCGTTGCTTGCCCACGAAGCTATTTCCAGCTGTGCTGGTCCAAATTCTGTCACCACCACCTCCTGCCAGGAACATGAGTAAGTGGGAGACCTCCTGGTTCGGATGCAGTGATGCAGAGCGCTGTGACTGTGTTGTCTGTCAGTGTGTCTGTCTGTCTCCCAGCCCTCCTGATCGGTTCTGTCCTTGCAGCTGCAGGCGCATACCTGCCCCCCTTGCAGCAGGTATTCCAAGCGCCGCGTCGGCCCGGGATAGGAACTGTTGGGAAGCCCATCAAGCTCTTGGCCAACTACTTTGAAGTGGACATTCCCAAGATTGATGTGTATCATTATGAAGTGGATATCAAGCCTGACAAATGCCCACGCAGAGTCAACAGGTAAGGCAAGTATTAGAGGTTTTGGCACTCATTCCCCGCTTCCAGTTTCCTTGTGGAGGCTCCATAAGTGCCTGTCTCGGTCTTCACCGGTGGAAGCCATCAGGGTGACGTTGTGGCAGGGCCACAGTGATGCCCAATGCCCATGTGTGGCTGGAACCCCAGCACTCTGGTTCCTGCCCTGACAGCCTTGGAGGTCGTGTCCCTGCTTCTTCAAAGCAGCTGTGCTATTTTGGCAATGATCCCTTGTCTAAAAATAGCAGCTCAGACCTTGGGTCATCACGTACTTTTCTATTCTTTGTTTTCCTTTTGATGTCCTGTTCACTGCCTGTCCCCTCCCACCCTCTGTGTGCTGAAGCCAATGAACCAAGCTGCAGGGCAAGACCAAGGCCGTCCTGCCCCAGGGGGAATCAGCTCTGCTCTCTGCTGCCCCATGGCTCAGCAGTGCCCTGGGAAGGGACCAGGCAGATTGCAGAAGGTGTCAGGCTGTAAAGAAACCAGCAAAATGAACCTCTTCTTTCTCTCCCCCGTCCCTCTTTCTTCCCCCAGGGAAGTTGTGGAGTATATGGTACAGCACTTCAAACCGCAGATCTTCGGCGACCGGAAGCCAGTCTATGATGGGAAGAAGAACATCTACACTGTCACAGCCTTACCCATTGGAAACGAGCGGGTAAGAAGGAGCAAGAAGTCCCATGCTGGCAGCGTGACCTGCCTCCAGGCTGGGAAGGACAAGCTAAAACTGACCCCCTCCCCTTGTGCCTGTGGGGATGCCATGATCATAGAATCCCAGCCTGGTTTGGGTTGAAGGGACCTTAAAGCTGATCCAGTTCCAACCCTTGCCATGGGGTCGGACACCTTCCACTAGAGCAGGTTGCTCCAAGCCCCTGTGTCCAACCTGGCCTTGAACACTGCCAGGGATGGGGCAGCCACAGCTTCTCTGGGCACCCTGTGCCAGCGCCTCAGCACCCTCACAGGGAAGAGCTTCTGCCTCAGAGCTCATCTCAATCTCCTCTCTGGCAGGTTCAAGCCATTCCCCTTGTCCTGTCACTACGGGCCCTTGTGATCGCTTCCCCTTCCCTTCTGCACCCAGGTTGACTTTGAGGTGACGATCCCGGGGGAAGGCAAGGACAGGATATTTAAGGTCTCTATCAAATGGATGGCCATCGTGAGCTGGCGCATGCTGCACGAGGCCCTGGTCAGCGGGCAGATCCCCGTCCCCCTGGAGTCCGTCCAGGCGCTGGATGTTGCCATGAGACACTTGGCTTCAATGAGGTACCAAGGGGCTCTGAGCATGCCGGGGTGGGGACAGGCTGCTCTTTGGCGGGCTGCTGCGGCTGGGACTGGCCTTGATGGTCTTTGGGAGGAGGTGGCCGTGCTCTGGGTGCTCCTGCAAAAGAAATAAGCGGGGTGATGCAGCTGCGGCGCGGGCGCTGGCTCAGAGGGGTGTGGGGGTGCTTCAGTCGCTGCTGGTGGGCGCTGTTTAACCTGGTTTGCCCCGGTTTGCAGGTAA